GCCCCACAGCGAACAGTCCTGGGTCAGATGGCAGAAGACCCGGGATTATGTTCACCTCTAAAGGTGTGTGCTTAGTGTCTCCGACAACAGCATACTTACACCTTATCCGCCCCCAGTTTCCTGGGCATTCCGGGCTGACTGAAATGAGCTGAAAATCGGAGTTCTTAAGATGTAGCGGCTCCGTCAGCTGCAGCCGGAAGGGTCTGAAAGCAGAAAAGGTAGTTAGCACGGGTCTAGGTTGGAGACATGCAACATATGACAAGTCCGGTGAGAATATGTCTTGTTTGGCAGGCGGTGGTCCCTGAGATCTCCCCTCCCTGCGTGGTATTGGTTGTCCCACCCTATTTTTATCATGGTGCAGGGGGGAACTGCGCTCAGATGTTAGTTTTTTGTCTGGGTTTTCCCCAGGAGTCCCTGCCTCTTTTTGAATTCATAAAATTCCCGCCGCAGCAGGCAGTCGGGCATCCAATGCCCGAGCTTTCCACACAGATGGCAGGGTGATTTGGCGGCAGAAGGACCGGGAGCAGGCGAGCGGCAGGTGGCTTCAGAGAAGGTGTCTTCAGGCGCTTCTTCTGCGGCGCTGACTCGGGGCGGCAGCTGTTTTTTCTTCTCTCCCTCCCTAGATGGCATGATTAGGACCTTCCGGGTGCAGACCTCGAGCATATCGTGCAGCGAGGGGGGTGGGTGCACCGGGAGGCTGAGGATGGCGTCCCTACACGCAGAGTTTGCATTCGTGGATGCTACTTCCTTCGGGATATGTTCCCGGGCAACCTCGTCCGCCACTTGCTGCTCGACAGCTTTTCGAAGACGCTCGACAAAATCGAGGAAAGATTCCTCGGCGCCCTGAAAGATCCTGGAAAAAGAAAGGAGAGGAGCCGCCCCCGGCAGCGCCAGGAACGCCTTCTCGGCTGCCCGCGCTGACTCCCGGAGCGCCTCCTGGGGGATGGCACTCGCCTGCGAGTGCCCATCTGCCCAGTTCCCGGTCCCAAGGAGTTGATCGACGGCCAGGACATTGCCCGTTAGGTCCAGCCCCGTGTGGGGCTGTTCCCACAGGCTCGGGAGGGCTTCTGTCACTCCCCTCTTCCAGGCTGCCTCCCACATAGCCCGCTCGGTGGGATTGAGCAGGCACGTGAAGAGGCGCCGGATGTCATAGGGGGTGACATCGGCTTCGGTAAGTGTTGCCTGCAACACTCCCCGAAAGTATTCGCTGTCCCGGCCGTAATCTTTCTGTGCCTTGCACAGCTCCTTGATCTGAGAATGGTGTAAGGGGACCCATTGGCGACGCACCCCACCATCTCCCTCTGAATGGTAAACAACCGGGGCTGCGGATGGTATCGCAGCAGACCCCGGTTCCCGGTTCCCAACTGCACCCCCTCCCCCCTGGAACCCAAAGCGCGGGAGCCGGCAGGGAGAGCGTGGGAACCGGGAGAGGAGGAGGTAGGGGCGTGGCTGGGAACTTGAGCAGGGCGATCCGATATCGAGGGACCCTCCCAGGAGGCGGAGACAAGGGGTGGAACTTTTTGACTGGCAGGGGGTGGAGAGATGGGAGGTGGTATGGGAGGGACCGAGGGAGGAGCCATGGGCGGGGATGTGGGAGGAGAAAGGGGAGGGACTACTGAAGGGGAGGTTTCTGGAAAGGAGGAGGGACTAGGAGGGGGGAAGGACGAGGGGGTAGAACATTGGGAGTGGCCGAATGGCAGGAAGGGGTTGGAGCTTGGGAAGAAGGGATTCTGGGGAGAAGAAGAGGGCTTTCCCGCCATTTCGGCCATGTGGCTGCCTCCATCTTGGGCCCCATAGGAGCCATTTTGGGGAATTGGAGGCGACTGGGAGCAAACTGGGGACTTAGAAATTAGGGTTTTGGATTTTGGGGTTTTAGAAACTGAGGACCTGGGGACGGGAACAGGGGAGGTAGGGGAAGACGAGGAGCCCCTAAGAGACTGGCCAGGACTCTTAGGGCGGGGGGGCCGAGGATTTTGAAGGGGGCCAGGGGACGAATGGTCACCGTGTGCGGGGCTGGAGCACGCTGCACCCTTCAAAATCCCGGTTTTACGTTTATGGGGACGGGAAGGAGGGTTAGGGGTAGAGGGAGAGGCGGAAGAACTGGGGTACGAACTAAAACTGACCGAAGGTTTTTCTGAGTTTCCTCCTGCTTTCAAGATAGATCGAATTTGTGAAATCCAAAACGCTAACGGAGAAAGCGAGGTGTCTCCTGATCTAATCAAGTTCGATAACTTGGCATTTGCCCTCTGCCAAAAGGCAGGATCTTTAATTAGATCGGGGGAGACTTCAGGAAACTCAGAAAAAAGCCATCAGATTAATTTTTTAACTTCCTTTTTATCAACGGAACAACCCCCCCCAACTAGGATACCCACAACTTGGTAAAACAGCCCCTTCTGAGCTGCCGAGAGTGAAAACTTTGCACCCATCGCTCGATGTTATAAGTGGCAGCCGCGGTAAAGCCCCCCCGTTCCAGTAAACGCGAAAGAAAGAAAGAAATAAGGGTGCCCACCCCCGGCCCCTGTCTAGAGAAAAAGAAGGGTGGTGACGAAACACCAATAGAGGGGAAGGCGACAGGGAGAGTAGCAGAATACTCACAAAGTCCGGAGGCGACAAACGAAAAGCTGGAACGAGGAGGGTCCTGTGACAGGACGACTCCAGGGTGCAAGGAGCTGCCGTCCAAGGTCCCCCGGGAGCGCCACCTCGCGAACAAGGTCTGCTCGACCACAGGGTAGTTCCGCGACCGCTGGGATTCTCAAAATCCTGTCCGTGGAGTCCACGAGTCCGAAAAAGGGGGGGCCCTACGTTGGGCGCCAAAACTGGAGCAGTGGCCGATGAAAAGTGAAACGCCCAGGCTAGATAAGTGTCCAGCCAACCTCCAGCCAGTCAGGCACTTCCCCAACCCGGGGTCAGGGCCTTGTGCCTAAGGCGATGTCGAGCCTTTGCGGACGTGTGGCCGCAGTAGAGAGCTCCGAAGTCGCAGGATGAAATGAAGAGGCGACTCTCAGTTTCTTTGGGAGGGTGGTTTTATTGGTAGGGAAACGTGGAGTTTTTCGGTGGAAGAAGCTGAGAGCCCCGAGGCAGGGAAAGCCTCGGTTTTACAGAGGGTGGGAGGGGTGAAAGATAGCAAATCAGAGAGGGATACATTAAGGATTGGCATGATCGGAGAACCCATCAAACACAGTTGCGGGAGGGACCCTGGCCCCTAACCCAATCACTCGACACCCTGGCCCGAACTCTCTAGAAAAAGAGGCAGGGGTGTCGAGTGACAGGCAGGCTGCCAGGGGTGGGGAACAAGAAAGATAACCAAGACAACTGGGGAGGGGTTTAGGGATTGACACAAACTGGTAACAGGGCAGGACCTTCTGAGAGAACAATGGGGGGAAAACTGAACAAGCATAAAACACACCACAACAGGGAATCTGCAGCCCAAAGGTGATGCTGAGGGACACGTGTGTGGCAGGGATTTTGGGAGATGTTCGCTTGCCTAGGAGTGTAGAGCAAGACACAGCTGAAAGTTTTTTTGATCTGCTGCTCATCTTTCATGGTGACCACAGCACCAGTGACACTGAAGACAATGAGTATTAGAGGCAGAGCAGGAACTGGAACCTTTTGAGTTCTTCTGGACCAGATCCTCAGGTTTATCTTTGCTACTTCTGGGCAAAGCTGTGACCTGCTATTCCCCCCACCCCCCTCCCTTATCTCCATTTAATCAGATTGGTTGTGTTCACTCAGCTAGAGGAGATCCAGTGGGGCCCTGAGCCCCATGGCTGCTTTGGCCTCAGTCCTTGTGCTGCACCAGGACTGGGGGATGTGGGGACAGGGAATGTGCTGGGAGTTGTGTGAGGCTGCCACGAGCTGGGTGTTGCAAGCAGAATTGAAGCAGCTGCAGTGCTTTCCCAGTATTTCCCAATGAAATGAATGCAGCCAGCCCAGATCCCACCCCCAGGGACTGGCTGGAATTTGCTGAAATTCCCCCTTTGCCCTTTCCAGCTCTGTAGCTCAGAGGTGGAAGGCAGACCACCACCAGGCAGCCTGGGGAATAGCTCTCCTGGCAGCTCCCGTGGTTGCCAGGTCTCCCAGGTCTCCAGGAAGGCAGCAGCATGGTCAATGCTCCTTGAGGAGAGCCAGGGGTGAAGGTGATATCCACATGGTCAGTTTACATTTCAGTGGGTTGGATTTCCCACAGGGATCATTAGTCCCTTCTGATTTCCACTTAAATTGACAACTGAATTATCAAGGTTTCTGCAGGAGTGAGTTCTCATGGATGCTTCATGCTGCATCCTGTGGTGTCCTTGGGGCTGGAGCTCCAGTGCTCTCTAATTGCTCAGGAAGAGGCTTAAATGAGTCAGTGTGAGCAATGCTCTTTCCTCATCCCCACCAAGTCCCCTGCCTGTTTGTGCCTCTGGGGACCCTGGACCTTGAAGATCCCTGTCTTCCCCATCTGCACTGCCTCTTCTGGCCCCTGAGGCTCAGTCCTGTGAGGGCAATAGGCGACCTTCCTGAATGCCACAGGGATGTACTTCAGAGATGACCACGCTTTTCTAAGAAATCTTACTGACCCTCAGTAAGAGGGGCAAAACCCACCACATTCCCCTTTCACAATGCAAGTGGAAAGCCCCTTTTCTCACTCTGATGTTCTTCCTGGAGAGCAGAGGCGTGTGAAGCTGCTGTGCTTTGACCCACTAGGCTCCCTGACAGCTGTCATGAGGAAGAACAAGCTCCCTTTCCTGCCCATGTTGTTGGCAGGGGCTGTGGGCAGCTCTGGGCATGGGGTTCCCCTGCAGCCAGAGGTGGCTAAGAGGTTTAGTCCCAGATGGATATATTCCCAACTCAGCATGCTCCTTTTGGTGTAGAGCCAGCTGAGAGCCAGCAGGAGGTGGGAGAACCTTGTGCCAGGGAAGTGGTGGCTGGGGACACCCGTCCTTGCCATGGGGTGCAGGACCCAGCAGTGCCTGGAGGGGAATACCAGCACAGGAGTCCCAGCACCCCACACCCAGACCATGCAAGGAGGTAAGGGTTTGTTGCTGGGCAGCCCCCCCAGCACCCCCCACCCCCCCAGTAGGTCAGGGTGCTGCTCTTGGGACCCACTTTTTGCAGAGAGCTCCACACTGTCAGACCAAGCCCCAGCGAGGAGCTGGCTCTGGGCTGGGAGCAGTTCTGGCCACCAGCTACCAGGAGCTGTCATCCTCCCTGCTGTGACATCTCTCTGGCAGTGTTCTGAGGAGATTAAGCAGAGACCAGGTTGCAGAACCTGCCTACACCCCCAAACCTGCGGGGAGCCCGGTGCTGATGACGCTAATCCTTCACCACCTAAACTCGACTTCTGCGGGTTTGGGACTGTCAGCAGGTGCTGACTGAAGTTAAGCTGACACATCCTGTTTGTGCTACTCCTGCTGGGGCACAGGAGCAGCCAGAGGCAATGCTTTCCTGATGGAGGAGATCATCCCACACATGAGGCTGGTGCCAGTGCCAGTGCAGGGATGCAGCACCATGTCTGGTGGCATGGCTGGAGTCTCCTCTTGCTTCTTAGCATGGGGTGGGGAAGGGGCAGAGCCTCTCCTACTGTTGAGAGGAGCGTGAGGGACTCACTGAGGTGCCTGGGTCCCAGCTGTGTGCCTTGTGCCCAGGTGGAAAGGGCTCTGTACACTGCTCTCCACTTAGGTGCAAGGACAGTCCAAAGCTGGAGCAAGGGCAAAAGTGCAGGCATAGAGACTCTGCTGCAAAATATTTTTCTCTTTGTCAGTGGGAATTTATCTAGGTGCATCTGATGCCTTTATGTTTGTCCTGACCCTGGGCCCCTCAGAGAAGACCCTGACTCTGGCATCTCCAACTCCCTGCAAGGCAGATGCTGACAGCAGTGACCCTTCCGTCGTCCTTTCCCTGGGCTGCACAACCCTGGTGATCCCTGCTTCCCACAGGGGACTGAAGCAGCCTGGTTTAAGGGACATCACTGCAGGTGGCACTGGCACTGGCATGGTGGTGAGTCACCATACCAAGGAGAAACAGCCCCCATCCCTGTGCTCCTGTGAAGATTCAAAGCGGGAGCGCTGGTGCGCGCTCTCGGCAGTGCCCACGCAGCGGGTGAGATGCTGGCACCCTGCGCTGTGCACACAGCCTCCGTGGGGGATTTCTGCTCTTGCATGGAGAAAACCTGTTTACTGGAAGCTCCATTGCTGCCTTTGGCCAAGAACTCATTTTCTGGGACACCTGGAAATCAGGTTGTCTTTTGGCCTGTGAGATCGTGGTCCTGGAGTGCGCTCTCCTCTCTCTGCCAGCTTTGGATGTGCCCCCATGAAGGCACTGGGGAGGGCGGGGGGGGAAAGGCAGGCTTCAGCAACCAGCCTGGGAGACTCTGGGGGGGAGACAGACATCACCCCAGTACCAACATATACCCCAAAAATTGAGTTGAGGCAAGTTCTACTCCCCACAGCATCAGAGGGTTGAGACTACATGATATTTATTGTGAATGTCCCAGAGATGTCTCAGAGAAGAGACTGGGAAATGTGTGGGGTGAGAGCCCCCCAAGTGCTATCCCAGGACCCTGGGGTGCTTTCACAAGGTAAAAGGACCTTGGAGCCGCCTGGTCCTTCCCAGCAACATCTATGGCCTGAGTGCTGGCAGAAGAGGGCAAGGGAGTTTTTGGCTATAGGATCCCAGAACAGCTGGCTGCAGGGAATCAGCTGCTGGAATAGTCGGGAACTGCTGAACAATTAAATCCAGCCTGTTGTAATTCCTTTTTACAATGTCCCAGCCTTTAAAAGAAAGTGAAAGCCATGTGCTGCAGGGTATATAAGCAGTGGAGAGCAGCAGCAGCAGGGCCCAGGGAAGCTGAGCAGAGCTCACCTCTCCTGCCTGGAGCTCCATTGCCTCCAGCCCATCCTCTGCCAGCTTAGCAGCAAAATGCAGCAGCTGCATCTTCTCTGCTTCAGTCTCCTGTTGCTGGGACATATCCTGGATGGTAAGATGGGACCTCTCAGGCTGCCTTTCCTGGGGAAATTAGAGGATTCTGTTTCTTCTCTCTTTTGCGTTTCCAGCAGACTTTTAGAGGGACAATGGCTGCCGCTTCCTCTCAGCCCTCCTGTGTTCTCTTCTTGTAACCTGTCCACAGGGACTTAGTCCTGCCCAAAGTCCAGACAGGAGCCTGCAGGGCTCTGGGGCTGGGAAGGTGTGTTTGGGAAAGGGCCATGGTGCAATCCTGCCTCCCCTTTTGGGAAAGGGCCATGGTGCAATCCTGCCTCCCAGTGCCCTAGCCCAGCTTGCATGCATTCGGCTGGGATTGTCTTGGTGCCGTTCTCCCCAGTACACCACCGAGGTGACATTCCTGTCGCCCTGTGGTGTAGGGCAGCCTGGAGGCAGGTGGCAGGGCTGGGAGCAAAAGGGAGGGTGTCTGTTAGGGCAGGGCTGATGTTTGAGAGGCTGTTGGTGCTGGATGTGGCATTTGCACAGGTCACAGCTATCTGGGTGGGTGACATCAGAACCTCTACATGTGGTGGGGAGCTGGGGGGTCCAGATGTTTTGTGGTGTTGCACCACCACACGTTGCTGCTGAGGGTACAGATGTCCATGGGTGCTGCCAGCCTTGTCAGGTGTTAACAGTGAGCACAGGATTTTCTGGGAGGGTGACTCTGGATCTCCTTCCCTGCAGAGAAGCAGACAGGTATGTCCTTCAGCTGTCACAGGGATGATCTGTGTGGGGTGGGCTGGTGGTGGGGTAGCTGCCAAAGCTGTGATTGCTTCAGTAAATAAAACTGAAATCATCCCCAACCCCTCAGAAATGCGTGTTTGTATTGCAGCACCCTGAAGCGGGGTAAATAAAGACCCCTGTGTCCTTTCTTGCTAGCTGGGGTGCAGGTGGGTTGCCTTCTGCCTGTTTACTCTTCCCCACCTCCTTTGCTTTCCGTGGGAAGGAGGTAAAGGGCTCTCAGCACTGGGGTGTGAGCGCAATAAAGCACTCAACAAAGGTGCCTGTGTGCCCGGGCAGGGCGGTGTGTGACAGCATTCCTGCAGGCACCGTCCTGCCACAGCCCTGTCTCTCCTCTGGGAGAGGCTCAGCTGGGCACAGCCTGCTCGGTGTGTTCCTCCTCCAGTGCACGGCGGCAACAACGTCCTCGACTGCTGCCTGCGGACGAGTGAGGCGCCCATCCCGCGGCGGATCGTCAAGGATTACTGGCTCCAGCTGGTGCAGGACGGCTGTGACATCCCTGCTGCCGTGTAAGAGCCCAAAGTGCTGATGGCTGAGGCACTTGCACAGGCAGGGTGGAAAGCAGAGCAGGATGGCAGAGGGATGTTGAGCGGGATTTGAGGGTGAAGGAATGGGGAGAGCTGGAGAAGAGATCCTGGAGATCCAGAGGCACAGTGAGAGGGGACAAAAGCCAGGGAAGAAAGTCATCTACAGGCAGAGATGGGGGAGGGCACTGAGGTGGGGAGTGGGTGAGAGCTTGAGGTGTTTTTGGGCATCCATGGAGTGCCAGTCACTACATCTTGGTTTTTTCCCCTCATGGGCCTGGCAGATTCATCACCACAAAGGGCAAGCGCCTCTGTGCACCCCTCCATTCCCCATGGGTGATTCGTCTCCAAGAGAGCCTGGATGCCAACTCTGCCAAGAGTGTAAGAACCATCCCTGTTCCCAGCCCAGGGGGTGGGTTTATCCACTGCCAGACAGGCTTTTCCCATTGTGACTGGGCTGCTGGGAAGAGCAGGGCTGTGTTCTACCAAGGCATGGATAATTTGTCTTGGTCTCCATCCCTCCTGCCTCCAGCTGGGACTAGTCTGCCTCCTTGGTAGTCCCTCTTCCGCCCCAAATAAATGCAGCCCTGGGATTTTTGTCTACCCAGTTCACTCTTGTCTGAGCCTGGTGTGTGCCATGGCAAATGGCACTGGGAGCAAAATCCCTTCTCACTTCTGCCCTGTAAGCTTGGAGTCTGCTGCTTGTGCATCTTCATGGAGAGGGCTTATGATGAGCTTGGTCGGTGCTTTACAAGCCCTGATGGGTCCATCACTACCATGGCTTGTCCAGCAGAGGAAGGGACCCTGGAGAAGCTATTAGCCCAAGGAGAACACTAGTATCAGTTGGGTTTTTCATTTCCCTAGGGCAAACCACAGGGCAAGTAGGTCCTGAAGAAGCCATGGCTTGTCCCAACAGCTGGAGGGGACCATCTCCCACCTGTGTATCTGATGCTAACAGAGCCAACCTGCTTTCATCTCCAACCTCAGGGCTGACCCTCCCTGAGACTCATGCCAGTGTGTGGGACAGGGCAGAGCCCTGTCTGCTCTGTCCTTTTCCCTCTGCCTCCAATGTGACCCAGCAGCCTGTGTCAGGCTGAGCCAGGGGCTGCTGCACTCCATCACCTTGGCAGCCTGGAAGCTGTTTGATGGACTGGTCTGTGAGGCGAGCTGGGGACTCCCAGGCTTCCCATCAACACAGCAGTTGTGAGCTCCAGCCATAGTCTGATCCCTTTGGTTTCCACTGCCAGCCCCAACCTAGAGTCCTCCTGCATCCCTGGGAAGGGCTGCCAGCAGAGAACAGTGTGGGGCTGGAGGGGAGTGATGGAAATGTTCCAGATAAGGGCCATACATTGTACTGGTCCTTGCCAAGCACAACCCAGATGCCCTCAGAAAATGTGTAGCTGATGTTGTTCCTCTCTCACTCCTGAATTCCCTGCACTGTTTCCCTCCTGCCCTTCCTTGCAAGGGTAGAAATAGAGCCACTAATGTGGAGCAGGCAGAGATGTGGCTCTTAGCCCTTGCTCTCCTTGGGGATATTGTACCTTTTCTCAGTCCCTCAGCCTGACACTACTGTCCAGCCCTGCCCCATGCCCACGCCTGGAGGTTGTGCTGCTCTCAGGTTATTTGCTGCTAGATCTGTTCATTGCAACAATTCCATGTGTATGCCTCTTCTTTACTCTCTTTTAAATTTTTTTTACTGTGCAGTGATTCTATTAAATAAAAAGAAAAGCCAGCAGATAGTTGTCGTGCCTCATGTTTGAGCCTGAAAGCCAGCGTGGAGTGTGTGGTGAGCAGGGAGCACTGCCTACTGTGCTGCACAGGCAAGGGGGCTGTGCTGGGGTGTGGGGAGGAGGCAGGAGAAGGAGGGTTCCTAGGGATGAGGGACACAGCAGATGGGTTGCAGGTCTCTCCTGGGAGTCCCTCAGCACTGTGGAAAACAGGCACCCTGCTCTGCACTGCTCAGCCAGGCTGTGGGTGTGCAGGGATGGGGTAGGAGGGAGCATGCCACTGTTGCACCATCCAGCCCCAAACACTTCAGTCCTGCCTGTGCAGATGCTGGGTTGGATCTCCCCAGCTCTCAGCTTCCACAGGGGCAGAGGACATGGAGGAAGTGCTGCAGGAACAGGAGGTTTGTCCTTGCAGTAAAGAGAAACTGAGGCACAGTGTGGTTGATTCCTCTGGCAGGTCAGCACTTGCTGGCTGCTGGGGTGCAGATGAGTGGGAGGATAAGCTTTTGGGGCAATGGAGGCTGCTGAAGATACCTTTCCTGGGCACACCCATGGATAAGGCACAGATGGCAGCTCCCCAGCTCCTGCCACTCATCGACAGTAAGCTGAGAGTCTGTGGCCCTTTTCCTCCTGAGCCTCAGGTCTCCTGTGCAATCTGAATAAGGTCTTGCTGTCTCAAAGTGTCCTTTTGTCCCCTTTTGCCCAGGCCATGCGATGTCTGAACAAAGCTGTTCTGTCCAGCTGAAGCTTTGTGTGTCCAACAGGCAGGCACCATCCTCTTCTCCCAAGCCCTGCTGTGACTGTCTGCATCATTCAGTTAGTCAGGTTTGATGCTAACCAGCATGCCTGGGCACAGGCTGGGAATGAAATGGCCCAGGACTGTTCCTGAGGGCAAGGGAAGCACCCCTCAGGGGATGCCATCCACAGTGATGCAGTGGCTGGGCTGTCCAAGCCAGGCCGTGCCCAGGTACCTGAAGGCTTTGTGCTGACACCTCTTGAACCCAGGCTTAATCCTGTCCCTTCTTCTCCCCTGGTCGCTTGCCTCACTCAGCTGGTGGCTGGTTCCTCTTCCAGGTGTTCTCCCCTCCGGGTGCCCCTCCCTGGTATGTGCACACACAGTGCCTCGGCTCAGATGTCTCTGAGTGTGACTCTCAGGCAGCACCAGCTCTGTCCCAGACCATTAACTACAGTGACAGCCCCAGCAATTCAATCCTGGGCAGAAGGAGGAAGAGAAGGAAGGCTGGTATGGGAAGAGGGGCCAAGATAAACAGTGTGAGTGGGAAATGAGGATAACTGGTGCTGGCTTGGACAGAAGCCTTCCTGCTGCTCGCTCAGTGACCTGCGAGGGGGCCGTGGCTGGGGAGGGGGAGGATGCTTGGCATGGATCTGCTCTGAGGCTGAGCTGCTGCAGCTGGAGCAGGTCCCTGTGAAGGGCAGGGACTGCCAGAGGGGCTTAGCCTGGGGTGGATTAGATTCATCTTTGGCTGCAGGCTCCCAGGACAAGGAGAACAGTGTCCTGGACCAGGGAAAATGAGGGAGAAGGGGCTTACACTGATCTCTTGGAAGCAGGTTAATCCATTTCCATGAGAGTTTCAGGGATGTCGTAGCCAAGCAGCCCTTAAGAGTACGGTTGCAGAGCCCAGGGTTCTCATCTCTCCTGGGAGCAGTAAATGTGTTCTCCTCAGAGCAGTGCAGCTGCACACCACAGATCCCTGCTAGCTCCTTGCCTGCTGTGGTTCTCAAGTGGATGGTGCTCCACGTCCCAGCTCTGGCTGCAGGCTGCTCTTAGCCCCCCACCCCCCAGGAGAGCACAAGAAGAGATGCTGTCCTGGACCACGTACGAGTTCCTGGCTCCTGTCCCTCCTCCAGCCCTGCAGCAGCCTCTCCGTCCACGCCAGAGCCCAACTCCTCTTGGAAATCTGTCAAAAACCAGACTGGTTCAGTGCTTAGTAAACCAGGGAAGGAGTTTCTCTGATTCAAAATGTCAATGATCTCTTTAGAAGGAAGCAGCCACTTTCCTCAGGGAAAGTAGCTAGTCACTGCTGTGTCAAAAACCTTGGTTCCCAGCCCAAAGCCAGTTTTAGTAAAAAAGTCCTCTTGCTTTTTTCTCCCCAGACATGTTTTTCTTGCTCTTTTCCTAACCTCACTGCATCCGCGGGGGTGGGTGGTGCAGGACCAGAATCCATTGCAGTATGATGCAGACATACCCTCAGCAGCTCAGGAGTTACCTGCAAGGATCTCTCTGGCTCTGGAGCATTGGCTGAATCCCTTGGAGCCCTTTATTCAAGCCTGGGGACCTGTATTTCACACATTGTGGAGCAACAAGGTGCTGTAGCTGCAAAGCTTTCACAAGGAGCTGACAGAACAGCCGCTCTCCTGTGCACAAGGCAGGAGATAAAGGACAAGGCTGCATCTGTGCAAGCAAACTGAGCAGGCACTGGGTCGCTCCCTGGCTGCCAGCACTCACAGCTGGGATCATGAGAGCACTCGTGTGTCTGCCTGGCGTGGTGAAAGCAGTCTTGGATGGTGCCCAGGCTGAGTGCAAGGGGCACCAGACACAGCAGGCACAATCTGCTGCGGTCTCAAGGTCTGACCTGGCACAGACATACCCAGCTGGGAGGTAGGATTGAAGGTTCCATGGTGGAAAACATCCATTTGCTTCTCTGCTAGCAGGGCACCAAGGGAAATGCTATGTTGGTCTCCCTTGGTGCCATAATATCCTCTCCAGGAAGGGTGTTTACTGGAGCTGGTTTTGTCCCTTGCCTCCAAAGAGAGGGTGTACAGGGGCTTTTCCTGTCACCAGCATCCCCCATGTGCTGCACAGGCTGCTCCCGGAGTGACTGGGGAGGGACCAACTGCATCCTCCCCACATGGACCTGCAGGCAAGGGGAGCAGCACCACAGGGCCTAAAAGCTGTTCCCCCTCTCACAGCCTTCACACAGCTTCCTCACCTGACTCCCTGGTGCATGAGAGTCCACAGGAGGTGTGGACATGCCCTGGGCCCATTTGCCAGTGCAGGGGCCAGTTGTTCCCCATTCTGGTGGTTTCCACCCCATGGTGTCAAGGCAAGGGGCTGCTCTTGGCACAGGTGCCAGATCCAGCTGGCAGGGGACCTGTTGGTTTATATGAGGAGATGGGATGTGTGGATGGCTGGGAAGGGTGAGAAGCCAGGTGAGGAAAAGCCCCTTTAGTCTTGTTCCATTGTACTGTCTGCTCTTGCCTAAACAACATGTGTGGATGATGGAGAGGATCCAGAACTGGCATCTCTTATCCTCAGGCCCCTGCTTGCTCCCCCCTCATTTCCAGCATGTCATCACCACTGCTGCTTGTCTGGACACTTCCTGCTGAGATTTGTCCTGTGGGAAGGTGCCAGCACTCTTAGCCAGGCTGCATGGTTCCAACAAGGAGCTGGTGCCATTCCTGCCATGCTCCTCCTGCAGCTGAACTCTCCCTGGTGGCATTGCCTACCCTGCACCTCCAAGGTCTGGAGCATGAGATCAGGGTGTTTGCCCTGCCCTGAGCTCCTGGAGTCAAATTGAGTCCAGAAGCTGTTTTATATGGAGACCCTTGTGCCCAGACAGGATTTGACTCGGCTTTGTGTTTCTAGAAGCAGCAGAAACTGCAGCTCATTGCAGTGGGGGCTGAGCCCCGAGCCAGGCACAGCTGTGCCCAGGTCCCAGGGCTCCCTTTGGAAAGGGAGGGGGACCCTTCCTCTCTGCCCTCAGATGCACCCATCTTCTTCAGATGCACAGAAGCACTAAAAACTGGACATAAAGACAAAACCAGGAGGGCAAGCAAAGAGAAGACTTAACCTGCTGAGAGAATGCTCTGGAAAATACCTGTTACCCATCCCTCCTGAACAGGCAGTAGGCAGTGAGAGCAGGCTTAGTGCCATTTCCGTGGCCCTCCCCACCTCTCTCTCCTGTTTTCCTGCTTAGCTGTGCCTCCAGGTAAGGCTTTTTTCTGCTCTCCAGCTGTGTGCCCAGCCACGGAAGGCTGGTGGAAACCTATCCTCCCTTCTTTCCTCAATTGCTCTGCATCCACAGCAGAACGGCCTGGATACAGGGCAAAAAGAACTGAGACTGAGGGGAGGGGTCTCCACCAGCTCAGATTGCAGGGATGGGGCTTGGAGGGGGCTAGCAAAGATCTGGTTAGCTCTGCTTGGGATGAGAGGGACAGCCATGGGGCAAGCAAAGATGAGAAGATTTTGGATGTTCTCTTGGATTTGTGAAACTGGTGTGCAGCCTGAGGCTGGCTGGGATGCATTACACCCACAAGCATGAGAAATCTTTCCTAGCCTATGGTGAAAAGGGAAAGCCAGAAGATTAAGCAAGGCACACCCAGGGGCTCTTCCTGCAATCTTTCTTTAGATCTAACAAGAACAAACCACTAATCCTGGTGTCTCACTCTGTCTGCTTGGCCCCGTGCTGCCCAGTTTCTGCCTAGTTTCCTTGGATTCTTCTGCTCTAGATGTATTTTACTGGCATTGTGACTATTCTGTGCCTGTCCAGCTGTGCTGCATCAATGCAGATTTGCAAGGTGTGGTGTTCACAAGCTTCCTGGCTTGGGAGGTTTCCCTGCTGCAGCCTTTAGTTGCTTCTTGCTCCAAACACATCTCCTTCTTCCCTACTTTCCCACAGAAAGCAACATTTTCTTTCTTGCAGATGTTATGGTTGGGAAAGCCCCTTCTCTGCTGAGATGTGGACTGCAAGCCCACAGCTCTGTTTACATGGACGCTCCTTAATCCTGTTTAAATTATCAAGCTGTGACTTTCTGTTCTCTGTGGGAGAGACAATTCTCCAGAAATGTGAGCTGCTGAGGTGGTCTTTGGTAAATAAATAAAGTGCTTTCCTTGAAAGTACCTGCAATATATAGTTTCCCACCTTTTTATTTAGCTGACACAGCTTTTGGAAAGGCACCAGTGTGTGTTTATGGTGATGGATGACAGCCACTGCTCTGCAAAGAACAAAAGCAGAAGTGTCCTGGATACAGATACAGATTCAGCCTCTTCTCACAGTGCTCAGTTTCCTTTCCCACCACTGCATTGTCCTCTGACCCTGACAAGGACAGCGACCCCAGGGAATTCCCAGTGTCAGAACCAATAGGGCTGTGGGTTTCACTGTCTCCCTGAGGTGAAAGCAGGGATGATGTCTGCTGGAACCCAGCTGTTTCTGAGGGCTGTGTCTGCCCTGTGCAATGGCTCTTTGCTGAGCCTGTGGCATTCAGCTGGCTTCAGGAGGGCAGCAGGTCCTGGAGCTGCTGTCACTCAGCTCAGCCCTTCACTCAGCTCAGCCCTTCTCACTTAGGTGGGCAGGCTCTGTCCTGTTTGCACTGCTTTGCCCCCCATCCCACTACAGACACTTGGAGCAGCAGATATTTTGCAGTTTGACAGAGGATGGTAGGAGGGATGCTCTCTCTACCTTCATCTGGATTCCAGCTAAACTACTCACTAGCCTTGCTACCAGAAAATCCAACACAGGTGGGTTGTTGGAAAAAATAGCATCTTCTGGCATGCCTGTGTGCTGTAGAGCTGGTGTTTAAAAGTGAGTTACTGCAGACTGAAGCAAAAAATCACCACAAAGAGCCATTTGTGAGTCAGCCTCACACCGAGAGGTGCTCAGGTCTCCAGCCCAGCTCAGCAGCTGGTGCAGTGCTAATAGGAGAAGTGGGGGTTGTGTTGGGATGAGGAAAAGGGGTACACATGCTGCAGCTTGCTGTGACTGCATCCAGCTGCTGTCCTCTTCCTTCCAGCAGGGGTGGCTGCTTGATTTATCTCTGAGATTTCTTTAGTGAGGATTTT